CGTGGATTACACGCAGCACAGAATTGCACACTCGTATATGTGAATGTATATAACACGAATGCGAATCCGATAGCATCGGTTAGGAGTGCGATTTAATAGCAAAGATTCACAGCTCAACGTGAATCATCCATCAACTAGCTCTCAGACGAATTTTGAGTGTGAAGATGATGAATGTGTGCTCATTTAGCACTGTATTTGTAAATATCCATCTATTTGTGCATTGAGAAGGTAATGCGGAGTGCTGAATGTACATATATACATACAAAACTTGCACATCTGCTCGTGTTAAGGCATCCGAAAATGGGTGTCCATGCAAAGTATGTATATTGGAAAAGCCTTTTAGTACCATGTTCTCACACTTAATTATAGCTGTGAGAAATTCCAGATTCATACTGTGTGCATATACACCTGTGATACACCGGTAGAGTGACTAATTTTCTCGTATTCGCTAAATGCTAATTAATATTGGTGATTGCGTGGAAAATAGACATGACACATTTGACGCTTCGAATTTACAGATGTTGAGACCGAAAAATAATGACCCCTCAGACTATTTGTTTGTATTTGTCTTCTTCTGAAATATTAAGACAATTCGTTCAGCATGAGCTTAATCATAATTTCATTTGTAGTAATCCAAATCTTTCAGGATATTCGTATGAGCTTGTATCCATGAAAACTCAACCCAAAACCATTATCGCTATAAAAAATAATATGCTAGCAGATCCTGCGCAGACTAAGCGTAATGAGAGAAACGTAAGAGAGGAAATGCATGTCTTGAATTTCAATGCAATTCACACAATTGAAAGAACACACACAAACAAATCAGAATGTAAGTGCCAAGCACATTGACTCTGCAAAGGGTCAGGTGCCAGAAACACAGGAAAACATAAATCCAACACAAGAGGCTCCATTTATAAACAAAAAGGAATGACAAGGTGCAGCCGTGAGAAAGGAAGCGATAAAAAGAGAGCAAATCATTCCAGCCGATCTTAGGAGCTCTACAATTTAAATTTAATTTAGCTTCGTGTTTGATACGTGCATTTTTGAAAAAAATAATATATACACTCTTGTGTTTTGTATTTTTTTCTTTAAATAAACATCGCTGTTAAATCAAAATAGGGAAAACGAATGTTGTCTTCATTAACCACTTTCTTCTTGTGAAGCCTGACAAACGGTGTTTGGCCGATTTTAACGAACTAGCCGCGAGTTGTGCTCTGGGATGTGGCGGCCCAACGAATTGGCTTTGTGGGTGTCAAATTACAGGTGCAAAGCAGAACAACAATTGCATATATTAGCAGCATTGAACAGAAAAGCACACATGCATATGCACGCACACCTAACTATACACACATATTCGAGATCGTAGTCGACAGTAACGAGGTAAATGAAGTCATTTATGTTAAAGAAATGGGTTGCATTGTTTTCTTCCTTTTTCGTTTTACATTTTTTTCTTGTTTTTGCATTATTCAATTACCGAATGACTTCTTTTATTTTCACTTATATTTTTCTGCACTGTCGTTGTTTGCAAACTTCATTAGTTCCGCCGTTTTGCAGGCTTCATTGATAACCTGCGCAAGTGAGGTTTACATAAGGCGAGCATATTAAATTACAAAAGCACACACGCACAGACTTTTCAATTATATAAATATATATATATGTACATACATATATGAAGGTAAAAGCACTTTTTATTATAAATTTCACTGAAGCGTTTTTACTAAATGATCAATTTCTGCAACTTGTCAGCAATTCTTTTTTATGTAATTATAATTCACAATACTTCTTTAGTTAGTGTTATATCATTTCACTTTAAATAAAATACTTGTTAATAACACTTAAGTGCTTAGCAATCACTTCTAACTTCGTATGGATTTTCACACAGTAAAATTGTTTAATTATGCCGCTCAAATACAGTTAATATAATTAGGGCACACGTATCCGTTCAAGCATGCGCACCTGAACATCTCTCGAACACAACTGACGCGCCGCATCAACGCAACCTGAGCTGGAGCCGCAAATGAGAGCGCTGTCAATGGCTGCTGCAGCCTATAGAACATACAGGTAACTGCGGCGAGTGGACGGTGGCTCAAACATGTTTCTCTCTTTTCTTTCACCATTTCCTCTGTTCAAGTCTTCCGCAGTCTACAGCTACCTGCCGCACTAACTGTTGCCCATATTGAGTTTACACTTGCTTTGTAAGTCTCCCAGCCTTCGGCAGGTCTTACAAAGTTAATAAGCGAGGAAAAGTCGTCAAAGTGCAATATGCAATATGGGAAACCGGCTTTTTTATCAGTTCGAGCATAATACATGTTCGATGACACAAGTTTGATGCGTTCTCTGCTGTCACTAATAGGTATAACGATTTAATTGCAATTTGGTTTTTGGAAAACCTGCAAGCTTGCCATTTACGCCATGGTCTGCTCTACATTTAAAAGAGATTCAGTGATTATTTACTTCATTCTTCAATTAATTGACTGAACTTATCGCTGTCAGCAACGCGATCACCTGTGTTTGTTGTTTCTTTGGGCTTCCGCTTAATTGTACGTATCACCGTTTAGATCGTTTGTCATTTGTCGTGTGTTCATTCAGTAAATAGGTATCAATACAAATCTCGTAATAGTTTTTGAACTTTTCGGCTTGTTAGCGCATATACAGGCAGACACATGGTTAATTCCTCTAACTTCTCTATTATTCAACAATATTTTATGTTGTTCTGAAAATTATCTGCTTCGTCACCTTTTTTAGGTCAGTGTTCCCCAGTTGTGTGCATGTGTGTGATTATTATTGTTCTTAAATATTTGCGTGACAATAAACATTTGCTGAGATGTTTCTATTGGTACTTTATTGTCGGACGGAATTTATTTTCAAGATACATATTACAATCAGCAATACATACATATACCCTGAACAGTATATAGTAATATGGCCACGAAGTTTGTAACACCTAAAAGGAAACGTCGGAGACTGCATACAATATAAATAATCAGCGTGACGAGCTGAGTCGATTTATTTATGCCCGTCTGTATATACCCGAACTACAAGTAGTGTAATTTTTGAGATATCGATATGAAATTTTGTACGTGTTCTGTTCTTCCCAAAAAGCTGCTCATTTGTAGGAACCCTTGAAATCGGACCACAGCTGCCATACAAAGTGTTCGATCAAACTCAAGTTCTTGTATGGAAATCGTTTACATTTGTAAAGATATCTTCACAAAATTTTGGACAGTTTATGAAAACTTTTTATATTTGTGAAGGGTCTTATATGTAGCTTTGATGTAACTGAAGTTAATGTTATTTCTTTTTTTTCGATACATAACACACACTTAACAATACTACTTACAATTTTCCATTTTCATAATGTGAAAATTACTAAAGATCAAAGAAAAAACACGAAATGGTAAAATTTTTGTTTGAAAAGGAGGTAATCAATTTTTGTAGACGCACTTTGAACTTTATGGTTGTAAATTGTCATTCTTGCTCGTATTTATCGCTCGTGCTCTAATAAATTATAAGTTGTGGACTCTGGATGGCCCTCCATTTTAGTATTTAATGATTTAGAATATTTAGTAGTTTAAAATAGCAATCAGAGTCGAAGCATGACGTGCTGAGTGACTTACAATTTATGTAACATGTATACAAGTATGTATAAATAAAGAGTCATCTAAACAGTTATTTTATATATGTTAAAACTTGACGCATTTGTCATTTCCGTTCCCGCCAGTAAAGCACTGTAAACAAATACATACATATATATATATATATATATATCTATATATGTGTGTGTGTGGAAGTGTGCAGCTATAAACCAAATTCGAATATTCTTATATATTCCAGTCCACAAACATAACTAATGGAACTCTTGACAGTAATGTGCAACCGACCTATACACAAGACATTCGAATTAAGAACTCAATGGCGAGCCCTATGACGATTTTCTGATGGTCTCACGTAAATACAAATCGTCGTAGGTCAGAATAGTTGCAGCTGCTGGAGCAAACCATCACTTCGTGTCTATAGTCTGTGCCGATAAACTAGCTAGTAGTATTGCAAAAAGTGGAACAAATTTGGGCCGATAAAATTGGCTTCATAAGGTAGGATTGCGGGGGTCATATAAACGAAATCACGAAAGTCTAAACTCCATAAAATTTGCAACTAATAACGTTAAGTATTGATAAATTTACTATACACCTAAATAACACGCAATATTTATTTATAAATATTCTTAAAGCTCATCCACTTTAATATCCAATATAGAAACGACTAGTAGCATCTTTTATCATCCCGATTCCAACTAACCACCTGACACGTCGTAGATACTGCTATCTAATTAGATTCGAGTTCTTTGTTGCCACATAAAACAGCAGTAAAGCTAACAGTACAAAGGAAGAAATGCAAAAAGACGATTGTCACCAAAGAAGCTACGTGAAGTCGCCGCCATATTACCAAATAAGGCATAAGCCTAATGTAAAGTTCGTGACCAAGCCAGGCGTGAAATGTTAATAACATATTTGTCAATAGCTACGACGTCTATAATGGAGCATGCGTAACGGAATATTGGCAGCAGAAACTTATCGCACAAACGCGAATAATTATGTTAATTAAAGCGATTATGATTCGATTTGCTTTGGTTTCACCAGTTGACACATAAAAATTCTAAATAGGTATATCTGGTAAAAACACACATTTCATTTAAAAAAGTTCATTCAGTTTGATTTGCATGTCATTAATTAATCTCACCTTTTCTTTACTTTGTTTACTGAACAATATAACTTTCACCGTTTCACATACGCATTCATATGAGAGATTCACATATATATATATTTTGAAATCATAATTTAATAAATTTTAATTAATCAGTGAACCAGGGTGAATCGTAAAACGCTTGTTGAGAAGTCGAAGTTATAACACCGAGTATAATATATGAGTTATAGCATACTTTTAAAAAAGTGAGAGACTCATTACGCATTGAAATATAATTAGAAAATGTATTTTGTACTCACCTCATTTGGATGTTGAGCCTCTCCTCCAGCTATATCCTTGCTGTCCTCCGATTTTTTCGACAAAACGGAAGCGGAAGCATTGATTTCGTTTAAACTATTTTTTGTTGATTTATTTTTTGTTTTATTATTGTTGTTATTTTTCTTTGGTTTCGTCGTTTTATTCGTCGTTTGCGAATTGTTCGTTGCATTTCTGCTTTTCACTTCAGTCTGGCTCTGCGGCCGTGTCTGAAGCGTTTGAATTTCTTTTTTAAGTTGCCCAATACTACGTTCTTTGGTTTTTATTTCCTCCAGCTGTAAAGTTAAAAAAAAGCAAAGAAAAAAAGTTTTAAAAATCTTACAAACAAATCGCACTTTCAAGCAAATTGAATGAATAAAACATTTTTGGTATAGAATTTTCTATTTTCTTCACCAAACTATCAAGGGACTCGATTCCGCAGCAAATGACAATTGCAACAACTTACGACCAAACAAGTTGTGGGAAATTTCTTGACATCAGAGTTGTTATATTTCTCCTCTTTTATTACTTATTAAACTGCTGTAGCATCATATGCGTACAATCGGGCACACTAAGTAGGGCCAAACATTCAACGCATAAAAAAAGGCAGTAAGACACTCATCCGAGGCATGTCTCACACGTCTCTTCGTTACGAAGGTGAAAAGTTTTAGCTTGTGTTTCTTGTTATTTAAATTTCGCTTGCGGCTAACACTTGTCCCAGACGTTGCCATAAATCAAATCGGCCATCTGAATGTATGCGTACACTGCACACACAAGCTTACAGAGGGTGGATCTGGAATTCCTTGAGATTGAAAGTCAGTACGGATTTGTTGGCAAGTATTAAAAGTCAGACAATAATAGCGATCAGTTGAGCTCACTTTTATGGTTGGATACACACATCATTTTTCTTTCTCAAACAAAAACTCAATTAATTTTAGTATAATATAAATTTCAAAAATCGTATGCCTTTAGTAAAACTGATTCAATGTTCTGGAACTACTCTCATTTCCGGCAGCAAATTGCACCAACTCGCTGTTGAACACTTCAATTAATAATTAACGCCTGCAGCAATTCCAATGGATTTCTACCAAAAACATCGAAAACTATTTACACCAACAAGCAGAAGACTAAGAAAATGATGTCGAAATGACGTGGATGCATTTGTTTGTTGTAAGCAAAATTATTTGCTTCATGCATTTTTTTGCTTCTCTCACAATTTTCTTCACCACCCATCACTTACTCATTAATTGTATGACTCAGTGGTGGTTAGAGAAGTACACGCCTTTGATCCATTAATATCGATTAATAAATTCGTGAATGAAATTGTGGCTTGCTTTTTATACCTATGTCAAAGATGATCCAAGAATGGAAAATTGAAATTCGATTATTGCTCTTTTATTGATTTTAAATATTTTCGGTGATGATTTAAAATTCCGGTAATTCCAGTGAAGTAGTTTGTCCAGTCAGATTGAGATACTCTAGAATGAGCTTTGAAAGCACATGAAGTACGTAACCGAACGGAAAAATATTGACAATGAAGCGCGCGCTCTATGTTAAGGAAGGAAAAGATTCAAAACTGAAAAGTTTTTCTAAAGTTTTCCGTACTAACGCTCCAAAATGTTGAAAACGGCAGAAAGCGACGATAACACTATAAGTGCCTTTTAAAAAATTATTTCGATTTACTTCTTTCAGTTTGATTAAGCGGAATGAAACATTGCAATTATACGACCAGTAATGAGTATTAGAATATGTGCTTAAATTTACGAGTACACATACAAATATGCGGGTCAAATTGAATTCCACACGCATGCCTTCTCATACGACTTACCAGACGTGAAATTTCAGTTTTGGCAGATTTTGTTAATTGAGTCAATCGGATTTCGTAGGTGTCTTTCAATGTGCGCATATCAGCTGCTTTACGTCTATCAGCGTCACCATTGATCTGTAATTAACAGCGATGTTCAAAGTATCAAAATTTTCTTTGTGACATATCAAATATGGGTATGGAAGCGCAAACAAGACAACACCGAGCGGTGAGAAACAAATATTAGTTGGCACAGAAGCACTAGATGCACAGACTAGACACACAAACGGAATGGATTAATAAACGGAGCAGCGCTTAATTATAATTCATGCAGGTTAGATGGCGCGCATAAATTGCAGAGTAAAAATAAAATATCTAACATTTTTATAATTATTATGAGCACACACAAACACACATTTATTATTGTTGTTATAGTTGTTATAATTCGGATTGCCGGAACTACTTTATCCCACCCCCTAATAAATGTTGAGTAATACACCATTGCATGCCACAATATTTGCCATTCCGGCCCATTTACAAATATTTGTTCTATACGCCTGTCATTGTTGCAACACTGGCACTAAAATAAATAATAGCACCGTCAACTGTCAGATGCACAATAAATGGATTACATTAATGAAATTAATCATGGCATTAGCTTTCGTCAATTCCAATAAGCCAAATGCATCGGACGCTCGCATACATTTTTATGCTTTTGTATTTGTAAAAAATATTCCATTAATGCACCCTGCTATTGGCCAACTGTCTTCCATTTATCTATAAAAAGAATTGACCACCAACTGAGTGCCAACAGTTGTTTCGCAGATTTCCGCTCGTCCAGGCGCGATGCCACTCTCGCTTTTGTACTGTATCTTCGGTATCTCTGTCGTCCCGCGGCTTGGAGCGACGGCGTGGTTGGGAAGTTTTCAACCAGTAAATGGCACGGCCAATACTACGCTGATTGAAGGTGCTGGTCAGATTTTATGTAGTTTTCACACGAAAGTGGTCTATGTATATTTCGAAAATGGTACCTCTTCCGGTTATTCGGGTGATATATTACGTTATTTAAGTGATTGCGGTACTTCATACATTACATTAAGGTGTGCACTAAGATAGATACGTGCAATTTTGCGCTGTATTGCCAAATCTAATTATTTATTTTTTTTTGTTTTTTTGGAATTTGTTTTGATTAGGAATCGTATTAAAACCGCACCGTTGGAGCTCATCAAAAACGATGGTATACTACTGTATCTGGTAATGATCTTTCACGATGCTTCCCAACGGGTCGATCTTGGCATTCTACGCAAAAAATCCTCAGCTAAGCACCTCTCCCATGTCATCATGCTCATTATAAATTCAAATACAGTGACAGAGAGTTGGTTGCGTCACACCTTCACGATCTTTTGGCAAATTTGGTTTCTCAACATTGTGATCATGTTCAAACGAGACAATGTGTTGCAAATCTATAGATACAATCCTTTCGCAGATGAATTCCTTATACATATTCAGCTGGACAACCAGAGATTTCCAAAGAAAGATGATCTCTTTCCAACGAATTTGCCGAATATGGGAGGCAGGCCGTTACGAGTGTGCATGTATCACGATGAGGTGCGTGCCATTTTCGAAGATGAAAACGATGGTCAGAAACTAATTGGAAGTGATGCTTTGATGTCACAGTTCATTGCGGAACGCTTAAACGCCACGCGTATCATACACCGTGTTAGTATGTTCGGTAACTTTACGCTAAAAGCAGATATTTGCTTTAAAGAAATCGCACAGGAATTAGATGATGTAGCATTTAATATACGTTTTCTGGCAGCGCCAACTTTTTCCGAACAAGCCGAATATACGATCGTTCACAGTCGTGATAGTCTATGCGCTTTGGTGCCGAAGGCGAAAATAGCGACGACATTTTGGAATTTATTTCGCTCGTTCACTATTACCGTTTGGCTGACGATTTTACTGTCGATTCCACTCGCCTATATCTTTTGTAACTTAGTACATCTGCGCCTGAACAAATCGGAATTCGATCTACTTCAACTGTATGCCATTACATTAACAATGCCCTTGACACGTATACCCACACGCACGCCGCTGCGCATTTTCCTCTTCTTCTGGCTGTTCTACGGCATGTTAATTTGCAATGCATTTAAAGGCAATCTCACAAGCAGCCTTGTTTTTCGCACATATCTTGAGGACGTGAATACCTTGAAGGATTTGGCTGAGTCGCCGTATTATTTGTTAACCTATATCAGACATACCAAACATTTAGATCGTTTTCTGAATGTCAGTGATCCATATGAAGCCATTATCAAACGTAAAATAGTTGTTGTGCCCGATGAAGAACTTTTGACTGGAATAAAAAAGAATAACCGCTCGTACGCATATGTTCAGAAGTATCACTTTGCTGCATTCTACGCTAATGCTCGCGTTCACTCTTTACGCGGAAGACCCTTATTCCATGTGATGTCCGCTTGCTTGGTACCTTTTCACGCCGTCTACATCGTGCCTTATGGATCACCTTATTTGGGTTTCATCAATAGGCTAATACGCAGCTCTCACGAGTTCGGCTACAGTATCCATTGGGAAAGCCTCATGAATGCGGCCTTCATAGAATCAGGAAAGAAAAGTATCCGCAATGTGATGAATGATGACGACCCAGTTGTACTTAAATTGGGCCATTTTCAGGCAGCTTTCGGTATATTATTTGTTGGCCTCACAATAGCATCCTTTGCATTTGTGTGGGAAATATTAGGACAACCAGACTTTAAACACATTCTTAGAAGTTTATATTAAATGATGGCTTGTCGCTTGGAAGCACAAATATACAAACATTGCGAAGCATTCATTTAAATTCGCAAAAGCAATCACCGAAGACAAAAACAAATATAACATATCGCGCAGTTCAATACAGAAATCATGCAATCTTGGTATTTTAACTCACCATTTTTTTCTCTTCTAAGAGTCTATTCGCTTCTTTCAGCGCGATAACTTCATTTGTCAGTCTTTGTACTTCATAGTTGGTCGCATTGCCAACTATGGAAGCATTTGGCGAGATTTCATTGGCTGCATCTGTCGCCTTCTTGGCGCCGATCAGCGGCAAAGTGGTGTTCTTTTTCAAATTTTCGAGAGCATTTTGTAGTCTCTTAACTTCATTTCTCCATTTTCTTGTCTCTGATTCATTTTGTGCACTGCAATTAACAAAATATCAAGATATAAGTTAGCAACGAAAAAAATTCACTATCAATATGTATGTACTTACCGCAACACACGTACAGCGCCGCGCTCCGTTGTTAAGCTCGACTTCAGTTCGTTGATCTCCAGCCTCAGCTGTTCGGTTAGCGCATTCAGTTTTTGTATCGTCTGTACATTTTCCTGAATTTTCCGTTTGAGACGCGGTGGTGGCACTGAGATGCACGCGGCTCCTGTAGCTGTGCTCAAGCTCGTCGGCTGCGCCGTCGCGCCATTGCTTGCATTCATCTGTTTATGTGGCGCACTGTTTGTGTTTGTGGGTGACGCGGACGTTTTTGCACCACCCCAACGTTCGGCGCGTTGTGCCACACCAGCACTTACATAACTGCGTGTAGCTGATTGTGGCACTGGCGTCGGCATGGCGGTGATGTACAACTTGCCACGACAGTTCAACTGAATACCTTCTATGCGAGTGCGCTTTTCTTGATTTACCGAGTCGCTAACGGACGTCAATGAAGCAGATAACTTCTTCTTACGCTTCAGCTTATTCTTCACTTCCTGCCACTCGCCGGAGCTGCCATCATCGCAATCTTGTGTATAGCTTATGAGCTCTGGTGCGTCCGCACCCCCCATTTTGGAGCTCAGTTCTTTGTATTTCTCTTGTCTTTGCTTGACCAACTGGTAGCTTTCGCTTAGTGTGTTGGCCAATTTCGTAAGGATTTGCACATTTTTAGGATGTGCGCTACTGCAAGCGCCATCGCCGGGCAACTGGCGCGTCGCTTGCGCATTTGTAGCTTTCTTTCTGTCGTTCTTTTCAACTGACACGCTGCTAGAGGTCGTTTTGCTATATTTATCTGCCATATTTAATTCATACAAGAATGCGAATTCGTGATATGTATGAATTTCGTAATTACTTTTGTATACAATTATATCTATTATATTCTAAGATTGTGGTAAGTCCGACCATTCGAAAGGTTCTCTTGATTCTTCTTTTAATATTAATTAAATTACTGCTGCTTCTACTCATGCGATCAAATTTCAAGTAATTTGGACATGCGGTGCATACATAGACAATCTTTTGTATATATGTTTTCCTCTTCAAAAAGTGAGTGCGAGTGTAAGCGCTTCTTACTCCGAATCGAGTTAGATATTTCAATAATAAGTATATAAATATTAATCAAATGCTTTACAGATTTCTGGTTGCTTAGAGTTAATGTCTGTTTTTTTCCTCTTTAATATAAAAAAGAATTTGCAGCTCAATAACTCGCTCCGTTTCCTTTTTGACTATCTTTGTATAAACGCTGTATGTTCTCTTTGGGCTCAGTTCTACGATATATTTCAAATATCCGTTCAAATATCTCAATGGCACTTCTTAGGATTCCTTAAACTCGTTTTATCTGCAATGAAGGAAGAATGCTTAATACAAGTGAATATGTATTTGTTGTTTAAATTAATAAAGTTAACTATTTGTATGTTTACATCATTATTGAGAATGCCTATTTGTATATTTATATCCATATTCGCGGATTTCACGGCTAACTAAACTGCATTTAAACATGTTTGCCTGAAACTCATTTTTAGTTCGCCTAAAAATATGCAACAATATCAAGCAAACATTATTCGGCTTTACAATCAGTTTAAATTTTTGTACCTATACATGCACATATGCATGTGAATGGGGCTTGTTTTGTTTAGAGCACATTCTTTGCTAAGTGAAAATAGAAATTTTCCAAAAATAAAGTTTAAATTAATATATTAATTTAGTTTGAAAATGTAAAGGAAAACTTCTTTACTTTTACACTTACTATTTTGGACAATAAATACATAGCTAGTGACCAATGCGGTATTTATCTGCACTACTATATTTTTCAGGATTTTAAACATAAGTTTTCCTAGTTTAAAATAAACATAGCATTTATATTATATTTTATTTTTAATATCACAAAATATGATTTCAAAGATGATATACATACGATTTGAATATTTTACAGAGACCAAGCATGTTTAAATAATATTTACATTTTTGTACCTTACTTAATATTTCTGTAAGAAAAAATATTACGACATGCATAACTTGCCAACGCTTAGGGCAGCCAAGCAAAAAGTAAACTCCTGCCCTTGTAGGTATTCATTTTAACCCTTGTGCCGACTTCAACAATTGTTTAACGATTCCCTTCGCCGTCATGTATGTGCGGATGGGGTTTGTCCATTTCACACTTCACTTGTTTAACATCCACTAACCGCGAATATTATGACATTTAACCGCCCATACACACTTTAGTCCACATAGTTTTCTACTCTGAGCGTGTTTAGATGGCGCCTCGCTTGCATATCAACAAGTCACCGTCTGCGTTTGTGACAATGCGGCAAAGGGCAAATTTTCGTTATTGATTTTCGCTTTAGTAGTCTACATAAGTACATGCATACATATAGTATTTGAGTATAAGAATATATAAATTGAAATATGTTAACACTGCTTAAACAATGTTGTTGTAAATTTTATTACCCACGGGGTTCAACAATATGGAACTGTTATTAAATGACTGATCCGATGTGGTGACAGCCCATTTGGCGTCTATGAATGACTTCATTAATCAATTATTTATGACAGTCATATGACCACATTAACGAAAGAGATGGCAGGACAGTGTGCAATTACGAGTAAATTTAAAGAGTCCTATAGCACTTAATAGGGCAGTAGGTAGCAGCTAATATGGGAATAAATCTATATTGCTTAGATACGAAAACGTTTAATTAGTTCAAAATTGCGAATAGAGTTAGCGTTTGCTATTGGGGGTGCACCATTAAGTGGAGTCATTAGCCTTAATTGCGGAGTTTGGAAAATGTAATTAGAAAAAGTAAACAGTCAATACAAGACGAAAGGAATTATTTCAAAAGTCAGTATGTTCGTAAAAGATTTTGAAAGATTTCCAAAATAACCTAACGGTTCATCGAACTTTTTCATGCAAATCGGCACTATACATCGCTTGTCTAATTGTTTTAGCCAAATCTATTAAGAACAATGTTATAAAACTATAAAGTATACGTAAACAGTGCATAAAGAATACGCAAAACACATAATAATTTTCAGCCCATTCAGTTGACATGAGGCCCCGAGAAACAAGCTTTCATGAATCTGCACTTTTGTGGCTGTAAGTAGTTGTATATAACAGTATATCTCATGTATTTGTATTTTATTAACAAAGCCACTATACGCTCTTTTGCACGCAATGAACCAGTACCACTAAAGAAAGCCCTCGGTATTGATTTTTGTCGCGTTTTCGTGCTTTCACACAATTTACTTTATAACATTCTAAACAGAAAGCCACACTGTCACCATCAAGCAGAAATAACTGCAATGCCGTTGGATGGCCGCGAATCTCAATAAATATATGTATGTTATTCATATGCATTTCTTTTCAGTAATTTTTAAGCTTCATCAAGTGCACTTTTAAAAAAAAAATTGGATAAGTTGCCACTCAAATGGAATTATTATTATTCACTAAACACAAATAGCACTATTAAGCGGAAAATTTTGTCCAGCCTATAAAAGAGTAGCGCGTAGCTGTGCATTGACGCAAATACTGCAATTCAATCTTAACGAAGGCGGGAGCTTCGTAGAGCGAATGTTCGCTTCAGGTAATTAAATGAGTGCATGTGCGTTTTAGCAGAGTTAAATGACCAAGTATTTCACATTCATTTTTGTTTTTTTTTTTGCGTCATTATTTATTTTTTTTCTTCAATTAACTTGGAAAATGCTCTATACATTTTTCATAAAAAAACGTCAGTGAAAACAGTAAAATAATGTAAAAAAATTAGACATTTTTTTCATATATGGTACCTTAGAAATTTGGCTTCGTTGCGCTCCTGCTCGTACTCCTTTCCGCACAAATCGTTTAAGCATGCTGCTTCATACGTACATACATACAGTGATGTGCATTAAAATAGAACCATATACCAGCTGTACAATTGATTTAACTCTAACAAGCGGCAAACCACAATGGAAGAAGTAAAATAGTTTGAGGATGCTTTTCAAAACACATTTTGCAATACACCAAAACGTTAAGTAAAAACATATCAACAAACGCTGGGTTTCAATTGATAGTATCAGGGGTCAAACCTTAATCGAATTGAAAATTGATAGCAAGAAGTGAACGTTGTTCTTACAGGCAAAAGTCTAAGAAATAAAGTTTATCGGCGGCAGCCTATTCAAAGCTGCGTGGGAAAAATAGGTAACCTTACGATTCTAAGCATATAAAATAAAAAAGATTGCACTAAATATAACCAAACATATATTATATTAATCTAATTTCTTTAAATTACTTCACAAAATTGTTAAAGTCTATAGCACAGAGCGCGAGTTGAATTTAAAACTTCAATTCTCAGCCATACCATTCACAGAACATATAGGATAGGATATTAATTTTTTACTATTAAGTATTAAATGAGTTAAACGTTTCTATTATTAGGCTTTACTTTATTGCACATCACTGTATGTATGTATATATGCATATATATATATATATATATATACTAAGGACTTATGAAACATTCTGTAAGATCATCATCAAGTACCAAGGCCAAATTAAAATGATTTCAGCTGTCGGATTTTCGCTAAAGGCAACAACAAAACTTCTGAGAGGAACAGCAAATACGCAAAAAATATTTATATACATTATATACATATATGCATAAATTTAGTATATGTAAAAACTTTTGGCAATATTTGTTTGAGCTTTCTTAATTGAGAGTGCAAATGGCGAATCACCCGTCGTGGACTCGATGTGAAACACACAAAGTAGACGATTGAGACACTTGTATGTGTGTTTGCGCATTTTCCAGATACTTGCTAATGTACATAACATATGTATGGATTTGAATTTCCAAGTAAAGTAAACAAATGCGGTACTTGCACTTTTATGTAAATATTTACTTATGCATAAATCTTACTTTTAATACGAAAATAAATAAAATAAAATATAAACACATACATACACAACATGCATACATCTGTAGGCAGCTACGCAGCAGCAAAAATGGAATGGCATCGAGAGAGCATGTGTACAAGCAGCGAAATAATTTCGACCTTTCAATTAAATTAAATTAATAATATTTCAAGTGTGAGCAAGAATTTTATATGTATTATCGTATACATCTGTATATATGTACTTGTATAAATATACATATGTATGTAGGGGAGTAAATTAGGAAATTAGCCAAAGTGAAATCTTTTGCATTTAACTCCCACAACTTTATGTTCAAGCGCACAAATGCACATTTATCTTTGCATGTAAGTAGTTAACTAAGCACAGGTGTGCGCCTCTGCACAATTACTTATGCATTTATCTTTTTCACTTTTTGTAGTCCACTCTGGTGCGCACCCTTTTTCGGAATTGCGCTGGCTGACCTCACCCAATTCTTTCGTTTTCGTCCTTGACATGCACGCCGCTCCCGGTTCTCCCAAAGAATATAACAATTTTCGCATGGACTTAAATAATCGCATGCTATATTCTTTTGAGAATATGTGCAAAAAACACATTAACCGGCATTTACTGCTCATAAATCGTACGCGGCTACAAGAACGACTGGGCAGTGGCGCAAAAATTTTAAATTAAATTCAACACAATTTGAGTTTTAGAAATGACATAAATATATACATATATACATACTATGGTATAGTATTCTAAAAAGATTTTCGTCGCATAAAAGGGCTATACATATACACATACATATGTATATATTTGTATATGGGTGCATACTTACATTAGTGCATTTGCACAGGAATGAAACATTGTGGTTTGATTGCTCGCAATTGCCAGCAAGTAAAGTGCATACATATGTACATATGTACATCGACGTATTTGTACATCATACTTAAAATCTTAAGTGTTAACGTGTAGCAGTTTTCATCTGCTGCAACAGTCATAAAGAGCATTTATGACTGCATGTGGTTACAAATAAGACTACGAAAAATATTCACATATATTATATTTAAAAAATTGTTTATGTGCTCGCCAACGCTCTTATATGCCATTGTCATCATCTGGGCAGAGCATATTCAACAGTAAGTCATCGACAGTCCATCTAAATAAATCATCTAATTGAGTATTCTGCGAACTAAGTTTCTGCAGTCGGTAAAATAATATAATATAAACCAGATCAGTTGGATGATCTGCAAATGTTTCAGTCGCGATTATACAAATATAATAATGGAATATTGATTAAATTCAATTGTTTCCGACGCGATTTTTACTCATCCATTATTATATTATTTATACTTATATATTTACTGAAAATTGATTAGCTTATCGCCTTATACATTGGCATTTATTTAACACTCGAACTTTGCTATCAGTATTTTACTAAACGAAAACAAATCAAATACCTATTACGTGTG